CCGTTCCCTGTTTTTTTTTGGTTTCGTGCGTGGTTTTTTCGCCAAGTGATCAAGGATGCTCCTCGATGGTCCTCGCCGAACGAAAAATGCACACGTCCGAGCGATGCCAAGACACCTTTCACTCCCGGAGCTCCTGGCGGCTCCGCTGCTTCGAGCCGGGAACCGTGGCGTTCCATGTCGGGCCCCGGGGCCCCTTCACATCGACCCGGCTCGAGAAACGACCAGAAAGATGGGGTCCAGTGGTCCGGTCGTGGTTTTTACAACGATGCTGAATCTGCTGCAACGTCAGATCTCAGGGCTGGTTGACCGAATGGCGCAGGCCAGCCTCGTCTCTCTCTAGCTTCAGACAAGCCTGGAGGACGACGAGCGAGCGAGGGAGAAGGGGAGGACACCGAGGCCGATCGGGGGAGCAGCGACAACCCAAGGGCGCGGAGACGACAACGCGGGAGGAGGGAGAAAGCAGGGGAGGCGACCCTTTCCTATGTTTGGTTGGCAAATGTCCAGGGAGGTGTTTGCCAAATTCTGGCCTCCCGGCCGGCCCTCGGCAGGCCTCCCTGGGCCGTCACAAGAACACCGGGACCGAGAAGCTGGTGCTCGGGAAGGGGTCCACTAGACGTCCGGGGAGCCGCGCTGGGAAACAGTCGCGACGTGGGGCGCCTGGAGCGCACCGTCACCATCGTGCCTGAGCTCTGGCATGGTGCCACCAGCCACCCTGGGGCCCAGGAAGGCCCTGGCCAGGCACGGTGGTGGTGCACCTCCTCCTCCTCCTCCTCCTCGTCCTCGTCGTCCTCCTCCTCCTCCTCCTCCTCGTCCTCGTCGTCCTCCTCCTCCTCGTCCTCCTCCTCCTCCTGCATGCCTCCTGCGGACAGGAGAGCCGCCGCCGTCGCCGCCGCCGTCATGAAAGATGGGAGGCATCGATGTGCTCTTGGGCGGTGCTGAGCCATTTTTTAGGGGGGGGGTAGACATGCGCGTTCCACGACTCGCAAAGTAACTCTTCGCAAATGGTCTGGATCCGCCGCGGGGGATCTACGAAAAACTAAGTCGATGCAGACATGCTTTTTCGGACGTTTGCGAGTGGGCGCTTTCCGAGTAGTGGAACGCGCTCGGTGAGAGGGAGAAACCGCTCCTCGATGCGGATGATCGACAATGTGCCGGAGCTGGGGACGATCCCGAGCACAGAGATTCTGGAGGCGGCGCACGGGAAACGACGGACAACTAACCCATCCCTAATACGGCAGGCTCGTGTTGTGACGACCCTGGCGTTGGTTTCTGACACCGTGTGGATTGTTCAACCTTGAGCGATCGGCGGCTTCCGATCGCCCGATCGTTCCATGTATGCCGATTCTGGACAACAAGCGGCGCTCAACCTCGAACGCCCGCGGCGGGGACGCCGCCGGTCGACACGACGCGGACCTACCGTGCGGAGGTATCGCCAAGGAATCGCCAAGGATGCTGGGTCTTTTTAGGGGGCCTCCTGGAGCGTTCTGGTCGCCTCATGGACGGCCTCCAGGTTTGGGGACGCACTGACCTGGGTCAATGCAAACCCAGGTTAGTCAGGCCCTGCAGGATCCTGCAAGATCCTGCAGGATCCTGGCCCGCCCGACAATAGGTGGCGGCGCGCACAAGAGGACATAGGGAGAGGGGGGAAGGCCTCTTGGAAGGACGCCGCTTCCGGGAAGGCGCTGGCCGTACGTCTGCAGACGAGGCCCGCACTCTCTGAGAAGCAGGGGTGCTTCTAGGAAGCCCCCCCCTTTCCCCCACACCCCCCTTCGGCTACATACGCAAGAGTGACCCAGGGTAAGAGTGACCTTTGGTGCGCGGCTTTTTTGGGGGGCCGCGGGGGGACCGAACCTGGGCGCGCAAGCGGCTGCCACTGTCTCGTTCTCAGCCATCCGGGGACCCATCCGTGCCCGCACCAAAAAGGTCACTCCTGCGAGAGGTCACCCTTATACGTCTCGTCGACCCCTTTCTGAGAGCGCGCCCGACTCTTCCCCCAGGGAGACGCGCGGGAGGCTCCGGGAGACCTTGCCATCGCCGGCCCTGCTACAGTCGGGGCGCTGACCTAAGGAACCCTAAACAAGGAACGAGGCCCCTGTTTCCCTTACCTTAAAACTTCGATTCCCCATGGAAAACCTAAGGAAAACCCGAGGCAAACTGTAAAACAATCAAGGAACACCGAGGCCCTCCCCAACGAACAGGGTTCCTTAATCAGCGCCCCGACTGTACGCACGCAGGATCGCGCCCTCCACACCCGCAGCCCGCCTTGCTGCACGAGCACCCGCCCGACCGGGCGGTCCCCCTTCTGTACAGGGGCCCCAGAACACACAAATAAAAAAACACACACACACACAAATAAAAAGAATCCCCATATTTTCTCATATTTTCGCATCTTTTCCTGGGGATCGACGGTTCATTGTGTCTGTGTGTTTTTTCCCTCCTGATTTTTGGGGAGGCCACGCGACGGCGCGACGCCTCCCTGCCAGCACGCTCGCGCACCTCGAACGGGGGGCTCAAGGTCCGAGGCCCGAGGCTCGAGATCGAGGCTCGAGGCGCTCCAGCCTCGGGGGCTCGAGGCCGCAGGCCCGATCGAGGGATCGAGGGCTCGAGGCTCGAGGCTCGGGGCTCGAGGCTCGAGGCCGGAGGCTCGGCCGAGGCTCGCGAGGCTCGCGAGGCTCTCGGGGCTCTCGAGGCTCCCTCGAGGCTCCCGAGGCTCGGGGCCCGAGTGCCGCTCGAGGCCCGTGGCAGTTCGAGGGCCCCCCCCCCCCACAGGCACGCACCGCAAGGGGGGGGGGGGGGCTCCCCGCACGCACCATGCTGCACTCAGGGCTAAGCCTAAACGGTGCTTTTCCTTTTCGTTTTGTTTTTCGTTGTCCTTCGCTGTTGTCTCGAACCCGCCTTTCCCGCAAAGCGACGTCGACACGAGAACGGCCCACGAAATCGCCAAACACACACCGTTGAGGTCCAGCCCTGTGCTGCACTCAGGATGAGGTCGGGCATGTCCTCCTGAAGGCGGATTTTGAGAGAAAGCTCAAAAACAATGATCAGCAAAAACCGAGAAACCAAAAAGAGCCCCCCAAAATGGCCACCAGACCCGTGTTTGACTGTCCTTGGGGTACTCCTCCTGTCGAGGGACACGCACGACTTAAACTTAGGAGCGGAACTGGAAAAGACCCGCCGAGGGCGCGGACTCTTTTGTGCTGGGCTGTGCCTTCCCGAGCGGCCCGGGCCCGGGCCACCGCGTTGGACCCCGGGCGACCAGCCCCGGGTCTCCTGACGCCCCCCCCCTCCCCCCCCGGCCTCAGCAACGCCGCGGCCCAATATCTGGCAAGGGGCATGGATCGACCTAAACCGTGCTGTTCGTGTTCGTTCTGTTTTCATGATCCCTCGTTTTGTGTGTCTCCAATCCGCCCTCGCTGTAAAACGAGATCGAAACGAAAACGGCCCATCGGACGTCCGATTGGACGGCGCAGCGTGGGCCCCGTGGGGGGGCCGGGGCGCGAGGCCCCTGCAGAGCCGTGGCCTGGCCACGCCCACCTCGGGGAGGAAAAAGGAGCCGTACAGCCGACCCTTATCAGAAGGATGGACGGTACAGGGCAGTTTTTAATACATGGGATGTTTAAGGATATTGGGTTTTTAATACTGATTACTTTATGAATGAATTTATGCATGGACTCGTCGTTGTTTTTAATACTAAATCCCAGCATTTTTAAGACATGATCCGCACGCGGAGCATGTACAAGTGGTACGTGTGCCATGGCTCTGGCACACAAAGGAAGGGGGGGGGGAGGAGGTGGAGGAGGGGGGAAGAGGGGGCAATACATCGCCCCTCGGGGCCCAGCAACGGTGCCCTAATCCCAAGTGTGTGTGTGGGGGGGGGGGGGGGGGAGGTGGCGCGCGTCGCGACGCGGCATGAAGCGCTCGGAGCGGAGAGGGGCACGGGGCGGAGATCCCACTGGGGAGCTGGGGGCGCGGAGAGAAGGGGGGGGGGCAGGTGGCGTGCGTCGCGACGCGGAATAAAATGGTCGGGGCGGAGGGGGCACTGGGCGGGGCATGGGGCAGAGTGCCACGGGGGGGGGGGGTCCGACTGGGGCGCTGGGAGCGGGAAGGGAGGGGGGGGGGAGGTGGCGCGCGTCGCGACGCGGATTGAAACTGTCGGGGCGGGGGGCACGGGGCGGAGCCCCCGCTGGGGCGCTGGAGGGAGGTGGGGCAAGCGGTGTGCGTCGCGAGGCGGAATAAAGCGTTCGTGGCGGAGGGGGCAGTGGGCGGGGCTCCCCGCTGGGGCGCTGGGGGCGCGGGGGGGCTCGGGGCAGAGAGCCGCGGCGCGGGGCCCCGCTCTGGCGCTCGGGGGCGAGGGAGGGGGGGGGGGGGGTGCGACGCGGAATAAAATGTTCGGAGCTCTAGACACCCTGTGCAAGAGAATAAAAAACGGCACTGTACAGCCAACCCGCATCAGAAGGATGGACGGTAAGGATGCAAGGGCCTCGGAAGCCCGTTTCGAAGCTCCTCGAGCGGGGCGCGGCCAACGAACGTGGCCAAGCCTGGACCGAGGAGGCGAGGATGCGAGGGTACCCCCTTGGGAAGGTCGCTCATCCCGACTGCGCGAGTCGACTGTATCAGCCACACCCCTGAGGCAGCAGCGCAACATGCCTCCGGACGGACACGAAAAGAAGGACAACACGCGCGCACGGGCTCTCCCACCGGCGGCGCTCCACGGATGCTCCTTCTCCCTCCCGGCCACATTCGCATGGGGGAGACGGGTCCTGAGGGACACGGGTCCTGGACCCTGGAGGAAGAGAAGGGGCATGAGGAGGAGGAGGAGGAGGAGGAGGAGGAGGAGGAGGAGGAGGAGGAAAGGATGACGTGAGGGACGACGATGACGACGGCCAGGCGCAGAGGAAGAGAAGGGGAGGAGGGGGATCTCGATACTGCTTCGATTTCCATGTAGTTGCCAGCAAGTGATCCGCTGCCTCCTGGGCTAGCCCAAAAGGAGCCCCACGGACTCAGGACACGTCCTCAAAGATGTCGCCAAACATGCTCGGATTCATTATGTACGTGGAGCTGTACAGGTCGTTGATCCATCTCCTGGGGGTAACCAAAGGCACCGACACCGACACTCCCTGGACCTCTCCACGGATGCGCTCTGACAATGATCCTGAGGTGCACGGTTTCCCCCGGGGCCGTAGGCGACCCGAGGAGGAAGAGGAGGAGGAGGTGGTGGAGGAGGAGGAGGAGGAGGAGGAGGAGGAGGAGGAGGAGAGGAGGAGGAGGAGGGGAGGGGAGGGAGGGGGAGGAAGAGGGGAGGAGGAGATGAGGAGAGGAGGAGGGAGGAGGAGGAGGAGGAGGCCAGGAGGAGGAGGCAACGAGATGGCCCAGGAGGCCCCCTCTGGCCTCGGCCCGTAGGTCTTAGGCACCATGCCAGAGGAGGAGGAGGAGGAGGAGGAGGAGGAGGAGGAGGAGGGAGGACGAGGAGGAGGAAAGGAGGAGGAGGAGGAGGAGAGGAGGAGGAGGAGGAGGAGGAGGAGGAGGGAGAAGGAGAGGGAGGAGGAGGAGGAGGAGGAGGAGGAGGAGGAGGAGGAGGGAGGAGGAGGCGGAGGAGGACGGGCCGCCTAAGCCCTTCGGAGAAACCCTCCATCCTGAGGTAGATCCGACCTGTGGAGGCGCATGCCCGCGGAGACAGGCCCCCCAAAAGGGGAACGGGGGCCAGGCGGTTCGGCTCGAGGGTGCGCACAGGCAGCTCCCCGAGGTGGCCTCGGGCACGCCTCTCGAATCGTCTGGGACGGTCCAAGCACCCCCGAACCCTTTGGGCGCGGAGCGCCGGGTGTATTGAGACCGCCCAGGACCACCTGGGGGGCCCGTGGGCCCGCTGGGGATACCGCGGGGGGCTGCCCGCGCGCAGCCTCACGCCCCTGCCAACAGGGATGGTCATGTTTTCTGCACCTCTTCCAAGGTCCATGCTGGTCAATTGTCTTCCATCGTGAATGCATGTTTGACGGCCGCGCGGCTCGAAACGGACCCCAGACCTCGAAAACTATAAAAAAACACTGATCCTCGAGTTCCCTCCTCCCTGGTATCGGCATATTTCCCCATAACCGCATAATGGCATTTTTGTTGTTACTCCGACCGTGTCGACTCCTCACGCAGAGTCACACTCAGGGTCACTACTTAGGTTATGCTAGGTGTTGATGAGAAGAATGATGATGGTGGTGATGGTGATGGTGGTACTGGTCGTGGTAATGATGATGCTGCTGATGATGACGATGATGATGATGGTGATGATGATGGTGATGATGATGCTGGTGGGTGATGCCACTCTTGGTAGATGAGGACGATGATTATGTTGATGATGCTGATGAAGGTGACGATGATGATAATGCTGCTGATGATGATGGTCAAACTTATGATAGTGATAATGACGATAAGTATGATGGTGATGCTGATGGTGATGGCTGTGAAGATGATGACGACGAGGGCAATACTGGTAATAATGATGGTGATGCTTATGATGATGCTGATTCAGATGATGACGGCGAAGATGCTGATGCTGATGATGAAGATGCTGATAATGCTGATTACCAGGATGCTGATGATGATGTTGATGCTGCTAGTGATGGCGTTCGTCATGGTGATGATGCTGATGCTTATGATGATGATCGGAGGTTGGGGGGTGAGATCGCAGTGTAACGGAGTCCCCCCACTCAGAAATCGAGTTTCGAGTTCGTGCTCGTGCCGTGCGTGCGGGCGAGGCGAAGCTGCGTGGGCCAGCGAGGAATTCATTCTGCTATCGCTAGGGGTCCGGCAACACAAATGGTTCCCCTCCCCGGTGTTGTCAAGCGGTGGCCCGCATTGTCCCGTCGGTTGCCCGCCGGTTGCTCATCACGGTTGCTCATCATGGTTGCTCATCATTGTCCCGCCAGTTGCTCATCATGGTTCTCATCATTGTCCCGCCGGTTGCTCATCATGGTTGCTCATCATTGTCCTGCCGGTTGCTCATGATGGTTGCTCATCATGGTTGCTCATGAGTTGTCGTCATGAGCCACCCCCCTCCCCCCACCCCCCCACAACCTCCTTATCACCCGCAGGGTGGTCGTATAGGTAAATATTATACTCATGATGGTAGTCGTGTGGATGATGATGGCAACAACGATGATAATAATCATGATGATGCTGCTGATGATGATGATCATGACGATTGTGGTAATGATGTTGATCATGATGACGCAAGTCATGATGATGAGGATGACGATGATAATGATAGTAGCGATGTTGGTGGATGATGATGATAGTGAGGATGGTGATGGTGGATGGGTATGATGATGATGCTGATGAGTATGATGGTGAGGAGGATGATGATGAGGATGATGATGACATGGTGATGGGGATTGTGATGATATGATGATGGTGATGATCATGATGATGATAAAGATGGTGATGATGATGATGATGGTGCTGCTGCTGCTGCTGCTGATGATGATGATGAAGATGATGATGATGACGGGGAAAAGTTTGAGGATGCCTCGGGCGAAGCGCTGGCTACAACTCACCCAAGGGGGGGGGAAGCCAGGGGGCATCTCACTCCTCCGGTCGCGCCTGGATTGCGGGGATGCCTCGAGCGGCTTGCCCATGTGCATGCTCAACACCCTCCGCTGTCGGAGCAGATTCTGCGGATGTCTCGGGCGAGGCGCCGGTGTTTGCACCCCAGGGGAGGGCAAATATTGCGAGGATGCCTCGAAGGGTGTGCGTGTTTTGCTGGCCATGCTCGTCTGCAGCCAAAGCAGGTTCTCAGGAAATGTCGGGCGACGCGCTGGTTTCGACACGCCCAAGGGAGAGCCGCCAGGGGGTATCTCACTCCTCCGTTCGCGCACAGATGGCGGAGATGTCTCGAGCGGTTTGCCTGTTTGCATGCTCAATGTCCTCTGCTTTCGGAGCATATGCTGAGGAGGTCTCGGGCGAGGCGCTGGCTTTCACACCCCAGGGGGTGCCCAGATTGCGTGGATGTCTCGAGCGGTGTGCGAGCGGTTTGCCTGTTTCCTGATCCAGGATTCTCAGCTTTCGAGGCAAATGTGGAGGACGTCTGGGGCGAGGCGGGGGGACGCATGCGGACCCTGCCGCGGGGGCCATCGGTGGAGCTCCCTATGGGGCCACGATTATCGTGAGGGGCGTGCCGAAATGGGCGGTAATGATCGACCCCAGGGGGGCACAGATTGCGAGGATATCTCGAGCGGTTTGCCTGTTTTGGTGGTCGGACTCGTTAGTCTCGGGCGAGGCGCTGGCCCAGGAGGCGCCAGGAGGCAGCAGGAGGCCCCAGGAGGCCCCAGAGAGCTCCAGGAGCCTGGAGGCCCCAGGAGGCATCAGGAGAGGAGGCCCGGCTCCAATCCTACATTAACGTATGTTCCTATAGATTGGGCTTCACGAATCCTTGGTGATTTTCGCATGTACCAACACACATATCTATATATATATATATACTGCCCCTGTCTTGTGGCCCCGACCTTCCATGTTTTCCAAATGTTCCTGTAGGTTGGGCCTCCGTTGCCAGGACAAAAAAGTGCCCACAGCCATGGCAGGTAGGCGATGCAACATGGTAACAACCACAACTGCGAAGTGCCCCTGCTTCGGACCCCTCCCCCCCAGAATTCAAAGTTGAAGTGTCCACATTCTGTCACTGGCCTTTGGCCTACCGCCAAAACCCGTCAACTTCAAATTTAGGGGAAGGGTGGTATACATGTTGGTCCGACGTTCTTTAATGACTCATTTTTTCTACTTCTCCCAGCGCACGAGATTCGTTTTGTCTTCGTTTCCCAAAGCAAAATGACACCACAGATGTGGAAAAAGACGCGTCGCAATGTCTTGGCGAGTCACGTGTGGACACTTTCAGCCCACCCACCGTCCCCTGGGGCCCGAATCAGTTGTGTGTTTGACATGTGTTCTGATCGCCTGCTCCTCTCCTGTGGCTCCAACCCTGAGTGCTGTGCTAATGCCCCTACACTTTGGGCCTCGCCTTGGGGCGCGCATCCCCCCCAGGAGGCCCCAGGGAGGCCCCAGGAGGCCCCAGGAGGCCCCAGGAGGCCCCAGGAGGCTCCTGGATGCCACAAGAGGTTCCGGGGGGCACCAGGAAGCCTCAGGACGCCCCAGGAGGCCCCAGGAGGCACCCGGAGGCCCCAGGAGGCCCCAAGAGGTTCAAGGAGGCCCCAGGAGGCCGCAGGAGTGGCTCCAATCCTAGGCGTTACGCTTGTTCCTGTAATTAGTGCTCCAGTCCAGGAGTGGCCGCAGAGTGCGAGGATGCCTAAGGCGGTTTGCCAGTTTTCGTGGCCAGATTCGTCTGCGTTCAGAGCAGAGTCGGAGGATCTCTCGGGTGAGGCGCTGGCTTCGACACCGCGCTCATCTTGCGAGGATGTCTCGGGCGGTTCGCCTGGCTCGGTGGCCAGGCTCGTCTGCGGGACGGGTGCACTCCCAGCCGGTCAATGCCCACGCAGCCGGTCAATGCCCACGCCCGTGTGTGTGTGTGTGTTCGAAGCCTCTCGCGCCTGGACGCTCACGACGGGACGGTCCATGCAAATAGGTGCACACATGGGGAGCTCCACGCATGCTGGTCGTCTGACCTGTAGTGTCAGAGGCACTGTCTGTGGCCCCGGTGTTCTACACTGCTGGGCCTGCTCATAGAGCGACTGTAACTTATGTGCGGTCAGGGAGCCCCTGACCTCTCTCACTTCATGGGGAGCCCCACGCCAGGAACCGTTTGTTTCTCCTCGGACGCTCCCGCTGCCGCAGGTCACGTTCGCGCGCTCGGACATGGCCGCGGCCCAGACGTCCGCCGTGACCTCGAAGGTGCTCGCGTAGCACGAGGGGCCGCCGCGGCTGCCCGTGTAGTACGAGAAGGCCAGGAGGCCCTTCTCCTTCACGGCCTGGCAGTGTTCTGCCCTCGGCTTCTCGGGTCGGGCGAAAGGGGGGGATACCGAAGGGGGGGGTTGAGAATCAGCTCACGTAGCTGATTTTCCCGGCGCCTCCCGGCGCCGGATGGAGCTATGTATCGAGGAATGGGCCCCTCGGTGAGGCCGAAACCAGCTGCATGCAGCAAATTTCGTAACCCCCCCTTTCCCAATCCCCCCCTTTCGTCCGGCCCGAGCTTCGGTCGGGCGTGTCCGCCTACGGGCGGATCTTGGACGAAAAAATCAAAAAAATACCCCCAAATTGAGAAAACAGCCGAACACGGTCGAACAATCGTCCCCAGAGCATTTTCTAGTGCTTTCGAAGATTCCTCCTCGGATATCCACCTCGCCGGGTCGATTCGGTGCTCCGGGCTCGGTGTCTGTGCCTGCGTGGCCAGCTCGGGAGAGCGTATACGCACGGATCCCTGGGCCCAGGATGGGGTCGGGCCAGGATCGGCGAGGCAGCCAGTGGACGCCCCCCTCCCCCGGCCCTCGAAGGATCGAGAGGGGGAGGGGCCTGCAAATCGTCGACCTTCGGAGGGATCGAGGGGGGAATGGGATCGAGGGGGGAATGGGATCGAGCTGGGAAGGGATCGAGGGGGGGCATCTGTATTTTCTCCGAAGGGATCGGGGGGGAGGGATCGAGTTTCGGGACGCTTCTGGTGAGTTCTGAGGCTCTGGTCCGGGGGCCTCCGGGGACATCCAGGCTTCGGGACCCAGGGAGGCACGAGCACTTGCGAGCATGGCCTCCATGCAGGCGTCGGGGCTGTCGACGCGGCCCACAAACGTGTCGACGCCGCACTCGGCACTGGGGTACCCCTCCTCGTGGATGAGCAGGTAGCCCTCCTGCTCCTCTTCCTCCTCCCTCTGCGATGGCGAGAAGGCCCGAGGGCAGAACTTCACTAGCAGCCTCTGCGCGAACTCCGGCTCGTTGTTTATCAGCGTGTCCAGGCCCGGGATGCGCTCGTAGTTGGTCTCCCACGGCTGGCTCGCCCATCCCCGGAGTACCTTCAGTTGGTCGGTCGTGTGATCGGCAATCCGCCACTTTCCTTTCGACTTGTTTGGGTGGAATGAAGTGCCTGCCAGCTGCCTGGTAGGTTCTCGGTGATTTCCCAGGGGCGACGTCACGAAAGTCCACACCGCACTAGAACATCGTAGCGATGCTTTCCCAAATGGCCCAAGCCCTTGTTCTGCCGAGCCCGTCAGGATAAATCTGAAGAATCAAAGTGCATACATGAAGGGGCCCTGAGACACACATATATACACACAACTGAAATTATCCTCTATATTTTCCATATTTTCTGGATTTTTGTCTTCCCCCTCACTTCCCATAGTTTCCTATATTTTCGGGGGAATCGAAGATTAATTGTGTCTGTGTGTTTCTTTTCCTCCTGACAAGCCCTTGCTCTGCCGAGCCCGTCAGGGATAAATCTGAAGGATCAAAGTGCACACACTTCAGTGCTGCGCTGGCAGGGTGGCGGAGGCTGCCGCAGGCAGGGCGATGGGGGCCATGAAGATCTGGATCCCCTTGTCCTTCATGGCCGTGGCCTTCATGCCCGTGCGGTACGCGTTCGTCCACTTGCCGTCCGAGATCACCATGACGGCGCTCTGCGCATCCTCCCGGCCGTCCGCAAACATGTTGTCGGCCGCGGTCAGCGCCTGCATCATGTTCGTGAACCCGCGCTGCCACTGCAGCCCTTCGACCGCTGTGCTGACGGAGGCAAGGTCGCTCGTGATCTGGACGACTTCGAGAGCAGGTGAGACCGTCCCGTTGTCGAAGTACTCGCCGTTACCGAATCCGCCACCGTGCCCTCGAGGCACGAGGTCGAATGCTCTCGGGTCCCTTGCTCGGCCCCCTTGGAGCCTCCCTGCCCGGACTCGACACTGCCACTCGGCGTGACCCCTGGGACTGCTGGCGTGCCGGGGCGCGCTGTCGCACGACTTGCTCGGGCCCAAGAGGGCCCTCAGAAGGACGAAGAGGGCCGCAACAGCCCCCCCCAAGACGATCCTCAAGGGCGTCGAATCGCCGAGCGATGGGTTCGACACGCCCAAGATGGCTCCGAGACGGCCCAAGAAGCCGCCCAGATGCCCCAAGAGAGCTCCAAGAGCTCTCCCAAGAGGGCCCCAGGAGCCCACAACTGTAATCCCCTTAGGGTGGTGACAGATTCTAGCTTCTTGGCCGCCCCAAGACGGCCCAAGAGGACCTCAAGCTGGCCCCAGAGGGCGTATGGCCCCAAGACGGCCCAAGAGGGCCCCACACGGGAGGACTCGAATCGAAAAGCCGAGCTTTCCTGCCCACCGGGCCCCCCGCAGGCCCCAAGACCCCCTCCAAGAGACCCCCAAGAGTCTCCAAGAGGTACCTGCGAGGCCCAAAAGAAGCCTACAAGAGGCCTGAAAGAGTCCACGAGAGGCCCCAAACTGGCCACCTAGAGGCGTCAAAACTACCTCGAAGAGGCCCCCGAGGGGCCTCCCCCGAGATCCCAGCGAACATCCTAGAGACACGCATTTCAAGAAGCTCCCGAATGCCACTCCAAGAAATCCCGAGAAGCATCCGAGTCCCCTGGCCCACAACACGGGCACAGAGGTGGGGTGGGCCGAAGGCCATCAGATAGTACCAGGCCGATGCGCATATCTTCTTGGCCATAGTAAACATTCTGGTACCTGCTGGTGAGGTTTAGGGCAAAATTCTTGACGATGTCGAAGCCCGTCTGTCTCAGAGAGCCGCTGCCATCGACTGCAATGACAAGGTCCTGCTTCGCGATGCAGATCTCATCGCCGACGCAATCCTGGGTGTTGCATTCCCTCATCTGCAAGCGGTCGGGGTGCTTGGGCGAGGGGCACCTTCCGTTCGCGCGGATGGGGATGTCCACCTTGCGCACGCGCTCCTGGATCCCGCCGCCGCAAGCCATCGAGCAAGGCTCCCAGGCTGTCCACGGCAGGAGCGAACAATCGCGATCGCACGAACCAGTGTTGCACGGCTGCTCCTCGAGCGTCGCGTCGCACTCCGTGCCACCGTTCTTGGGCTTCGTCAGGATGGAACGGGTCTTGCCCTGCGTGCCACCTCCGCATTCCTTCGAGCACTGTGAGAAACCAGACCATGCGGACATCACGCAGTTCACTGGGCAATGGAACTGGTTACACTTCATGCCTGCGGTCCCGTTCTTCCGCTCATAGAAAAGCGGCGGGCAAGCCATGCCGTAACTGTTCGGTGATACGATGATCTGCCTCGTGAGGTGCTTCATCCCGCCGCATGCTTGGACATCAACGCCACCGACATCAACTGGGCAACTGTCATCGCAATCCACGGGATGCGAATTGCCTCTCCCATCGGTGGTGCATGGTCCCGCGGACCAGTCCGTCAGGTCGCAGTCCTTGATGCTATGCGTGGGCGAGACCTTGCTGTACCTCATGAGTGCGTTGCGCACTGTCCGAGTGCCGCAAATGTTCGTGTAGAGGATCTCGGTCATGCGCTTCTTGCAGTCGCCCATTTTGGAGATATAAGCCTTATCGATGTCGCGGTGTTGCTGCTGTTTCTCGCGGGTTGCAGCGGTGATAGAATTGATCTCGGAGATGGCCTCTCCCAGCATCTCCGTGAATTTCATCTTGTTCGACCTCAGAGTTGCGATCTGCTCGTTCATGTTCTCCTTCTCGCCCTCGTAAGCGTCGCGGTTCTGCTGCATCTCGTACGTCAGCTCGTCGACGAGGTCCTTGAATTTGCCCCACTCAAGTGCCATGATGTCGTGGAGGAGGCCGCAATTCACCTGGCCGTTGATGCACTTCCTCGAGCCGCCCGACGGCGTCTTGACCCGATGAGGAGGTGGCGCCTGGCCCAGCTGCAGCAGCGAGGCAGCCTGACCGTCCTTCGTGCCCAGGATCTCGCGCAGGGCATTCTGCACGCGCGGCGACCGCCGGATCTTGGCCGCGAGGGCGGTGTTGTTGGTGTCCACTGCGACCCCGTCAGGCGTGTCGCAGACGTCGAACTGAGCGAGGGAGTACGTGTCGTCCCCGTAAGCGTTGGGGCACTTCGACAGCTGGAGGATGGCGGTGAACACGTCCTGGTCGTCCTCGCGGAGGTTCAACTCGTACTGATTCTTCTCACGGGTAGACTGGAAGCTTCGCTTCAGGTTGTCGAGGGCTGTCTCAAGATCATCAATTCGAGTTTTCATGTCCGCGATGCCGCCTTCAGCCTGGGCCTTCATGCGCTCCTTGTCAGCCTGATCCGAGCCGAGGTGCTCCAGATCAGTGACCACCTGGCTGAAGACCATGCGGTTGCTCTCCTCAAACTCCTTGCAGTCGACCTCGACGTTGTCAAGCTGCAACCAAGCATCGTACATCATGTTGTTCAGATACACGCGGCCTTTCGCCAACGACACCTGAGCGACGACGCAAAAAGAGGGTCTTACAAACGACTGCACAGCTACCATGCGCTCTGGCCTACGCACGCCGCCAGCACGGCACACTGCGAGAGAACGATAACGACCACGCGCGGCCCTAAGCGGGCAGCTTACGCGCGAATGAGACCCGTGCAGTCAACCAAGCTTCTTGACGTCGCCCACCTCGCTGTATGCACCGGTCGCCTGCGCCTCCGCTCCACCGGACGAAGAGGAAGTGCGCAGCAGGGCCATCACGTCCTGGGGCAGCTGGCCCTCCAGCAGCGGCAGCGCGTCGCTCAGCTTCATCCTCTTGTGCAGCCGGTTGGCGATGTGCCGGGTGCTGATGTCCTCTCGGGGGAGCAAGAGAAAGGTCACACGGCGACGATCTTCCGGCGACCGGGCACGGCCTCCCCCGCCACACTCCGGGCGAGAATGGCGTCATGGCCACGCCCCAAGAATTCCGAGGCGCAGCTAGCGGCCCTCTTTTCCGGAGCCCGCACGGAGCAATCGGAGGCCTGGGAGTGCACAGTAGGAGCTCGACCACAAGAAACCGCTCACAAGAAACCCAGCCCTGAGACCCCAGGGCGTCCATTGATTGCTGGTGTGGGCACGCCACGCTTTCCATAGGAAAAGCATCGAAACCCAAGACACCCAGGGCACAATGGAGGCAAGCATGGCGTTTCTTGGCATGGGTTTCCACTGCATCAACATCAGGACTTCTTACTCCTTCGGCACTCCCCTGGCGCACACATGGGTTGGAAAGGTATAGGGTACGAATGTGTAATAAACACCTCCAACACACAGTCGACCTGTATCAGAAGGACGCGCGATGAGGATGCAAGGGCCTCGGAAGGCCATGCCGACAATTCGCGGGCGGGGCGCGGCCAGCGAAAGCGACCAAAGATGGGCCGAAGGAGAAGGATACCAGGGTGACCTTGGGAAAGTTGCTCATCCTTACCATTCGGGTTGACTGTTCTCGATTATATGACCTGAACACTTCTCTCAACCCGATCCTCCCAACCCGTCAATTGTCTTTCTGAGTGCTTGTGCTCAATGCTTCTTTGTCTGGCTGCTGGGAGGCTAAGAAAACATTGGCCATGACTCTTGCGATTTCCTGGCCTCCGAGATCTTCTGACCCGGGTCAATCCAGACCCTGGTCCGCCAGGCCTTGCAAGATCCTGCACGGCCCTGCAGGATCCTGCACCCAAGGCTGGGCCAATGCAGACCTGGATCTGCAGGATACTGCACAATCCGGCGCTCTGACTGACCCCCGTCTGCGGTGACCCCCCATCTCTTTTGGTGGTCTCCAAACCAGGTGGTGAGACACCCGGTGGTGACCCCGATTCCCCACAAAAACAATTCTGGGTCACCACCGGGTTTGGGGACACGCGGTCGCCACGAGGTTTTGCGTTTCCTGGGCCAGCCAGCGCTCGAAAACCATTACCCAAATCGCCCAAAACTCACCACCGGGTGTTCTCACCACCACGTTTGGGGACCACCAACTCTTGAGCCCCGACGGCCGCCGCCCGGAAAGTTCGCGGCCCCGGTGGCCCCTGGCTGTGGCGAGCCTCCGGTCGCCGCCTGGGGTGCCCTCTGGCTGGTGCTCTGCCGTCCACGCGCTAAGACCAGGGCCATCGTGGGGCTCAGGGGGGGCGCTGGTGTTGAGGCCGTTCCTTAGATGTAGGACGGGGGCCCGTGCGTGGCCAAGGCTCGCCGTGGCTAGAGAAGCCCCCTCGTTCCTCATTCAGCGTTGCCCGAAAAGTGCCTGGTGATTGGCCACCCGATGGTGCCCCATGCTTGGTGTGCTCAAATCGTAGCCCTCTGGGTCCTCCTCCTCCTCCTCCTCCTCCTCCTCCTCCTCCTCCTCCTCCTCCTCCCCCCTCCCTTGCTCCCCTCCTCTTGCTCCTCCTCTATCTCCTCCTCCTCCTCCTCCTCCTCCTCCTCCTCTCCTCCTCCTCCTGCTCCTCCTCACCCTCGTTTTCATCTTCGTCGTCTTCAGGGTCGGCGGCACCGGCCGTAAGGCCTTCGCTCTCGTCGCCCTCTGGGTCCTGAGCCCCACTGGCTCTGCAGGAACTGCACTGCGCGCGCACTGCACAGCAGCGTTTCCCCAGCGCGGCCGCACGAGGCCACCGCCCTGGGCACGCGCTGGCAGTCGTACGCTTCTGAAGGAGGGCGCGCCGCTGGTCGGCCCAGAGCTGGCCATCGCTCGGACGTCCATTCTCTGTGTTTTTTTCGGTGCCGTGCGTGGTTTTCGCAAATGATCAAGGATGCTCCTCGACGGTCCTCGCCGAAGGA